TAACCAAACAGCTGAGAACTGAAGCAAATTAGAGTGAAGAAGAGCTGGAAATAGTAGCTGGAAACAGACTCAACAAATAACATGTTCACTTCCTCATTGCCTATTGAAATAACAACTCAGCACAAACTTCAACTCTGAGAACTGAAGCAGGGAAAACAACTCTGCAAATCACAGCTAAGTAATACTGGAACAAATAAAAACAAAATCCAAACTAACTTATGTACATAGTTATAACTTGTACATAAAAATACTCTAAACCAACTGATAAATAGAGATGCAAAGCTGAAAACTGAGTGCAAAGGAAACACTCAGCAAACCTGTATGCATGGAGCAACTACAACAACTGAGCTGGGATTTTTAGATAAGCAAAGTTAACCAAACAGCTGAGAACTGAAGCAAGAAAAAAACCCAGCAAAGCAGAAAATTGAGGAACAAAATAAAAAGTCAAATAAATGGAAGATAGCAATGGCATACAAGGCTCAGATTATAGCTATATTATCCGTATACGATGCCTCGCCTACATATTGTAATTGCATTGAGGATTGCCTACACATAACAGTTGTCTCACCTAAAAATCACATTAGCAATCTAGATTGCAATATCATCATGGTAAGCCTTATCCAGACCAATACAAGTACTCAGTATAGGCTGCATCAACAAATAAATTCAGCAATCCTCATTGCCTATTGAAATAACAACTCAGAACAAACTTCAACTCTGAGAACTGAAGCAGGGAAAATGAAATCTCTGCAAATCACAGCTACGTAATACTGGAACAAATAAAAACAAAATCCAAACTAACTTATGTACATAGTTATAACTTGTACATAAAAATACTCTAAACCAACTGATAAATAAAGATGCAAAGCTGAAAACTGAGTGCAAAGGAAACACTCAGCAAACCTGTATGCATGGAGCAAGTACAACAACTGATCTGGGATTTTTAGATAAGCAAAGTTAACCAAACAGCTGAGAACTGAAGCAAGAAAAAAACCCAGCAAAGCAGAAAATTGAGGAACAGCTTAAAAAGTCAAATAAATGGAAGATAGCAATGGCATACAAGGCTCGGATTACAGCTATATTATCCGTATACGATGCCTCACCTACATATTGTAATTGCATTGAGGATTGCCTACCCATAACAGTTGCCTCACCTAAAAATCACATTAGCAATCTAGATTGCAATCTCATCATGGTAAGCCTTATCCAGACCAATACAATTACTCAGTAGAGGCTGCATCAACAAATAAATTCAGCAATCCTCATTGCCTATTGAAATAACACAAAGTAACTTATGCGAATCAGTATAACTAGTACACAGATGAGGTAGCAGCTGCTTCAGACCTGGTAATACAATATATAAATTCAGTTCCTCATTGTCTTTTTATGTTATAAGCTTAGTAACTTATTGAAAAATATAACTCAACCAAAAATAACAGCTCAGACCTGGTAATACAATTCAACCAAAATAACATGAGCCAAGACAGGAGTAAGAAACATGATAGGTAGCAGCTGCTTCATGCACATGAAGTGAAGGTGTTGAGTCACGATATTACAAGATAGGTAGCATGTTCACTTGATTATAAATACGGCTATAATAGTGCAAAAGTAGTTAGGAAACAAAATCCATTACCCAATGTAGTGTCCACTACGGCAAATCATCGGGGGCAAATCCATTTTCACTAATAATCTTCTCTAAGAACAGTTTCTGTGCATTTTTCGACTTGATAATGAACCGCCTAGATTCTGTTTCATTGTCATATAGAAAATCCAGCACCTTATCAAGTATTGTCTCAGAGAAATCAGCCGCATGTTCATGTAAAGCCTTGGACATGCGATCAGTCCAATGTAAAATATGTTGGTTTTGGATTGAGTGGGACATGGATTCGATGAGTTCACGCATTAGTGAATCATCCTCTCTGCCCTTGCCACCCTTCTTTTTTAAATGAGGTTTGGAATTGGATGTAGAAGTTACCCCGCTAGCCGACTTCACCGTTTGAGAGTGAGGGTCAAGCCTTTCAACACTTGGTGTCTCAGCCCCAAATTGTGACTTGGAGGTCTCAATATCATCATCTTCACAAAGATTGATCGGATCCTCGAAAAGTGGATTAGGCCGATTATTACCAAGTTTCTTACTCACATCTTTGGCATAATTTCCCCTTGCTTGGTCATCACCAACAATCGTGCACAAATCATCGTAGTGCATTAGAGGCGTGTTCAAGTACTCCTTCAACTTTGAGCTATTGCACTTATTATCCTGTGGAATAACAAGATTTAATAAAAAATTGCTCGCTACATAAAAATGTACGCAAATAATGAACCATAAATAAAGCCAGTACCAATCGATACCTTTGTCCACATATCAAATGAATCTGGATCCATTGTCACTATTTTTGATGTCGGATCATAGCCAGCACCGCTCATGTTCATCACAGTTCGCATATCAAAAAACTTACTCTTCAAGCTCTTCATATGGTTCATCACATTCTCCTTTGTGAATTCAGTTCCACATTGCTTGTTAACTTCATCTGCGGCCACTTTGTATGCATGCATTTTAAAATTTTTATCAACCTTCAGGCCATCTCTTGCCAATTGAGCAAGAACAGGGATTAGAACATCATCATGCCTGGCAGTCCAATACATGTTATGCACACCCCTAGTGTTGGGAGCCTTGTCTATAATTGTTGACGCCAATCTTCTTTTAGCAGCTACTTTCTTCTTTTTCTGAGATGGCGATATTGCCTCGACATCAACTTCATTAACCCTCTTTCTCGAACGACTCTCTCCAGATTGACAATTACTGTTATGTGGGCTAGGGGTTGCATGGAATGTATGGTGGCTAGTAAGCATGTTCATGTAAGACGTAGGTTGCTGAGTCATATATGCAAAATTACTGTCGTAAGGAGAGAAAGATGGAAATGGAGGGGGCTGGGGAGGGGGAGCAGAGAATGGTGCTCGAGGGAATGGCATGAAGTTCATGTTCAAGTTTGAAGGAGGAGCTACAGGGGTTTTAGGGGAGGGAGTGGCATCACAATCCTCATTTCTATCACCAAACTCGGCCATGCTTAAAAGGATGAAGGACCTGTTACACGAGGGAATGGCATGAAGTTCATGTTCAAGTTTGAAGGAGGAGCTACAGGGGTTTTAGGGGAGGGAGTGTCATCACAATCCTCATTTCTATCACCAAACTCGGCCATGCTTAAAAGGATGAAGGACCTGTTACAATAAAATTACATAGTGAAAATATGAAGAACAAAGCTCATGTTAGACCAAAGGCTCATAATGTAAAGATAAAATCAACCCTAATTGACTATTAATCAATAGGATAACTATTTTACTTCTGTAGATCACTGTATGTTCATGAGTGTATTACCTTAAAATAATGATAGTACAAAGGATTGCTAGCAATCTCTGGCGCTAATTCCATTGTTGCTTGCTTCAAGAACCGCCCACGTATAGAACCAACTGCTTCTAGGCATTTGTTAAAATATCTGGAAATTGTTTCTCCCGATCTTATGAAATGTGATCTTACTATTCTATTTTTTGTTTTATGTCCTAGAATATTAAGAAACATGAGCAACTGTTCTTCAACTTTTACATCACGTGAATCCTGTAGTAGGCCCGTCCCTCTCATTATATCAAGATCTTCCATCTACAATGAGTGCAAAATTCATTCTTATACATAGACAAATAATGGGATCGAATTTTTAATTCTAATACTTTCAGCGGATATTCAGTATAGTAAAATTATATAACTACACATAGTAAAATTATATATAGTAAAATTAAATCAACCACGAACTCATATTCTAAACGATATTTAAACTGTGCCAATATTTTCAGCTAGCCTTCATATACACGTAGGACATCAGCAAGCAAAGATAAACATCTAAATTATGTAAGTATAGAAAACTACAGTTTGACATTTTGAAAAATTCTGGGGAGTAAACTATGCCGTAAATATACTTAGTTTTTCCTTACAATATTGGAACTCAGACTCTTCTATAATTGCCTACCTATATTAAGTAAATAGTGACAATTTATTAAAATCATATAAAATTAAAAAATTAGGGAACTGAAGGCTATACCTTATCGTCGGTGTGGAGTAGACCCTGATGATCAGAGAAGGAACTTGAACCCCTAAACCAGAGAACAAGACGGCAGATCTGAAGTTCAGATCAGGGTGGAGTTTCGATTACAATTGAATCAGAGAAGATCACCTCCATCAACGAAGGCCACATGCACTATGAAAAGCCCCATCATCAGAAAATCGCAGACTTGTAAAACCCCAACATCATAAAAATCATTTTGAAATCAAGGGCTACGTGCGGTCGAGGTGTCCCAGCAGGGATCTAATCAACCATTCTAGATCGATTTGTCGCCGATGGATGCCTCGGCTACCTGATTTTTCTCTTGATTCGGCGCGAAACGGAGGAGGGAAACGGAGGAGGGAAAGGTAGAAGAGAAGAGGCAACTGAAGACGAGGCGGTGAGGGTATCAACCACGGGTCAAGTTCTTCGAGTGAAGAGAAAAGGAAACACAGCGTCACGTGGTGTGTCAGATTTCCAGCCCATTTCCTCTCAAAAAAAGTGGAAATGGGAGATCCTAAAAAAGCTACTGTTTGTCAGGTTTTTGGCAAACCTTTTCCTAAAAAAAATGGGAAACAAACGTGGTTTTTGGAATCCAAAAAAGCCTAAAATGTTGCTTTTTGTTCCATAACTGCAGTTTTCCAAAAAAAAAACCCCAACCAAACAGCCCTTAAGAGGCGATTTTGGCTTAAAGCTGACAAAAATGTCAGCTTTTATCAGGGATGAGTTGCAACCACACGGGCCCTGGGATGAAAAATATACGTGGTCAAAGTAATAACTTGCAGTTAACCCCCCAAAACACGCTACAACGGGCATTACACGTGCACCCGGAACAGACCCAATCCGATTCATGATGACGTGTCGGGTTCTCATTGGTTGCCGCTTCGTGGCAGACGACAAGCAAGGGCTCACCTCCTCTCTCACGCTTGGAAAACGTCGTAGATCTAAAAATCTCTTCTTTTTCCTCCCATCTCGTCTTCCTTCTCATCGCGATCTCTTCGCCGCCGATCCCTTAGGTTCGTCTGAAATCTTATCTACTTTCTTTAAAATTTACATTAATCTCTTCAGTCTTCAAAAAAATCCATTAGATCCTTGTTTAAAGCAAGAAAACATGGCATTTTTTAGATCTGATCGGGGAGATCGATCAGTGACAAGGTTCCCCTGGGGGTTTTCTTAGATTAGGTCGATTACGAGGTCCATTTGCGGGTTTTCTTTGTTTTTGGATGGAGCAAGATCTGGTCTTTTTCCGTCTGGATTACCAAATGATCACAGATCTGCAAATTGTTTGTTTCGGTGCAGGAAAATGGCGGGGGGATTTAGGGTCTTGCACCTCGTGAGGCCATTTCTTGCTATACTCCCCGAGGTCGAATCAGCTGACAGGAGAATTCCATTCAGAGAGAAGGTCATTTACACCGTGATCTCGTTGTTCATCTTTCTGGTGTGCAGCCAGCTTCCCCTGTATGGAATTCACTCGACGACCGGCGCTGATCCGTTCTACTGGATGAGGGTTATTCTGGCGTCGAACCGAGGGACTGTAATGGAGTTGGGGATTACTCCCATTGTGACTTCTGGGTTGGTGATGCAGCTGTTGGCAGGGTCGAAGATTATTGAGGTTGACAATAGTGTGAGGGAGGATCGAGCTTTGCTGTAAGTGTTTGCATTTTTCAATTTGCATTGGATATTGGTTTATTATTAACATTGAATAAGCGGTGCAAGTTTAGTTGGCATTTTGGACTGGTTTCGTTATAGGTATATGTAATAATGTCATGAAACGTTGGTTTGCGTTCTAAATTGGTGTGGTGTTCTAAGCTTTCGTTGTTAAATTATTTATCTATTGAATATTTTTAATTTAGTGTTGTGCCATGTGGTTTCAGTTATTTTGAGAAGCTTTTTAGGAAATATAATTTAAACTGAAAATCCCCAGCCCTGTTTCGTTGACATATGTGGTATGGATAGCTACCACGCGAAACAGGTTTATCTTGTCCAAAATTTAAGGAGGCCACATGAGATTTCCTAAAACAGGATTCGACACACCTGCTCAAACTTGTATCCATACACAATTGTCATTATATTCCTAACCAGCACAGCCCTGAAAATATCCTTGTTCATGCTCAGTCTATTATAATAATTTCCTTCTCTTACCCCGTTATTGGTAATGATGTGGTTAACTTTTTTGACACGTAACCAAACAGATGAGACATTTCAAAACTAGAGTGCAATCATATCCATTAGTGATCTCTGAACTCAGCAACAGAAGCTCCTTTTCACCAAGTCTTATTGCGTATACTCTTTGATCCTTTCACTCCTGTCAGTTCAATTCAAAAAGCTGTGACAGATGCATTGTTCATGGATCCGGAGCTACAGTAAATATGGTTAGAAATTTGTTTGCTTAGCATCACGTGGTAAAATCAAAC